GGACATGTTGAGACTTTTCTTTCTTAAATAATTTTTATTGTTTCATTTTGGATAGGGTATGATCAACCTCTATCACTCAAGAATTTGAATAGGACAATTATCCCAGTCTATGTTTACTGATAGAGCTTTGGTTATTCATGAAAAATTATTGGCAGTCCTTTGAGGCTAACCAAAATTAGCTTCTCCATATGGCTAACCTTGTTGTGGTAATCTTTTATGCAGTTCCAGAAGATAAAAGATGCAATCCAATTACATAATACAGACCGCTGCAGTATTGGCCCGCCAATAGGAGTAGGAGACCTCACACTTGAACTCCTTTCCGGGACAAAGGATGTATCCTCTGCAGCTTCTTCTACTTAGATTTGCTTGTGTGTTTCAATCTATATATCAATAGCTTGCATTTGAGCAACCACGAAAGCTTTTACGATGGTTTCTATATATGGTCATTTTCACTTTTTGGTTGCTACTACAATTTCCACCACTCTAGTTAATGATGTAATTATATGCTCCATTCTTTGATACCATTAACACTTGCAGCTTATATAGGATTGTTCAATGGAATTTTGTTCATTATGTGGAAAAATTGAGTGGAAAGCACTACTTCTTGTCATTTATGATTCTTCTCAATCTGGGTTAATGCTATAGTGATACACTACTAGGTGTAATGTACTCCAGACTTGAAACTAAGAGCCCGTTTGGATTGACTTAAAAAAAGTAACTTTTAAAAAGTAATTTTTTAAAGTGCTGGAACTTATTTTTAATATAAGTAGTTATGTGTTTGGATAAAAGTGCTGCAGTTGAAAAAAGAGTTGTTGATGTGTTTGGCAAATAAGTGCTGGTAAACACTTTTTTTTATCAAAATGTCTGAAATACTCTTTAAGCTGTTAACATGATAAAAAGTTGATTAATTTAAGGTTTTTATACTTAAAAAAAAAATTAAAACAAAATTAATTTATGTTTTACATCCATAAGTAATAATATTTTTCTATCATTCACATATTTCTTTACCTTATAAGAGGAATATAAATTCATATTTCAGAAATAATAATAATAATAATAATTAAAAAAAATAAAAATAATAATAATAATAGTAATAGTAATAATAATAATAGTAATAGTAATAATAATAAATAATAAATAATAATAATAATAATAATAAAATAATAAAATAATAATAGTAATAGTAATAGTAATAGTAATAGTAATAATAATAATAATAATATAATAATAATAATAATAATAATAATATTTATAATTATAATAATAATAATAATAATAATAATAATAATAATAATAAACATAATAATAATAATAATATAATAATAATAATAAAATAATAATAATAATAATAGTAATAGTAATAGTAATAGTAATAGTAATAATAATAATAATAATATAATAATAATAATAATAATAATTATAATAATAATAAACATAATAATAATAATAATAATATAATAATAATAATAAAATAATAATAATAATAATAATAGTAATAGTAATAGTAATAATAATAATAATTATTATTATAATTATAATTATTATAATAGTAATAATAATAATAATTATTATTATAATTATAATTATTATAATAATAATAATAATAATAATAATAATAGTAATAGTAATAGTAATAGTAATAGTAATAATAATAATAATAATAATAATAATAATAATAATAATAATAATAGTAATAGTAATAGTAATAATAATTATTATAATAATAATACACATAATAATAATATAATAATAATAAACATAATAATAATAATAATAATAATAATAATAATAATAATTTAATAATAATAATAATAATAATAATAATAATAATAATAATAATATAATAATAATAATAATAATAATAATAATAATAATTAAATATGGGCAATTTGGAAATTGTATAAAAGAATTAAGGGCAAAAAGGTAATATACTTGGTCAACATAAAAAGACTTTTAAGTTAAAAAAAAAAAAGCTCCCCTCCCCTAGCTTTTAGCTTTTGGCTTAAAATAAGTCATTTTTGACTTAAAATAAGTCACTTTGATAATTGCCAAATACTCTAATAAGTCAAAAACAGACTTTTAAGCCAGTTTGACCAGCTTAAAAGCCCATCCAAACAAGCTCTAAATTAGAAAGTTTTATGAATTTGTACAATCAGATGTTCATCGTGTATTCCTAAGATACTTAGAACAAAACTTTGAAGAACTTGATAAAAAACAACAAAGTTTAAAGAGTATTTCGGAACTAGAAAATTAAAATCAGTAGAGAAAAAAGAACCAAACAGATTAGAAACAATATACAAAATATTTTTCTTAAAGAAGAAAATTGACCCCAATAAATGTACAGTGTCCCCTTAAGGAAATCTTACTCACTGGTGTATCGGTACCTAAAATCATGGTGTCAGCGAACCACTCAACAACAGTAAAGTACACTTAGAATACTAGATTTAGTAGTAGTAGAAGAAGTCCAGAAAATTTGTTTTTTTTTTTTTTCGAAATGAGAGGAAATCCCTCTATTTATAGACAACAAAAGGTTGTGTGAAATGGTGCTTATTGTACCTTACCGGAAGGGTCACACCCTTTGGAAAAGTCACAATATTTCGGAAAGGTCACAACCTTTCATAAAAGTCACAACTTTTTATAGAAGTCACAACTCTTCATAAAAAGTCACAACTCTTCATAAAAGTCGCAACTTTTCATAAAAATCACAACTCTTCATAAAAGTCGCAACCCTTCATTTTCCATTCACACCTTTTAAAACCCAACAACACCCTGCATGAATGGGGAATGACCAAGACAAAGAAACAAACAAGTGTGTATACTTAACAAGCAAGAATTAATTGCATCTGGATAAGTAGGTTTTCCTTTGAACTTTCCGTAGTGAACATATGTCGGATATACTTGGTCAATCGGTAGATTTAATATCTTTGAACCGTCAAGCTTTGGTGTATACCTAGACAACCATATGTCACACAATCAACCCTTTACCTTTTATGGTTCTTACAGTTGTGTTCGTTTCAGTCTTGAACACCTCCTGATTTCATGAGTGTATATAGAATAGGCATTTTACAATGATTCTCTTTGAATCGGCTTACACTTCACACTTATATAGGTGATTTCTAACTGTGTCATCGCGTAGATACACTATTTGGTCAAACCTGCCAAACTTAGAAAATTATTAAAAACTTTAAGCTTTATTAACTCCTTAACAGGTAGAGTTACCGCCATGATGACTTGTCCTAAGCCGTAAACTCATTCCCTTAGATGATCTTTCAACTTTCTCTCTAGTTAAGCCTTTTCGTAAGTGGATCCAACACATTGTCCTTTGACTTTATATAGTCAATTGTGATAATTCCACTAGAGAGTAGTTTTCTAACGCTATTATATCTACGTCTTATATAACGAGAATTTCCGTTATACTTCATGCTCCATTCCCTACCTATTGTATCTTGACTATTAAAGTGAATGCATACTAATGCCAATGGTTGGGCCAAAATAGAATATCTATCAAAAAATTCTGGAGTCTTTCAATTTTTTCACCGGTCTTATCTAGAGTGACAACCTCATAGATCATTGTAGAGCTATCGATACATGTCTATTTGGATAATTTCAAAGATACTGCTCCTCTATCTAGAGTAAATACATATCCACTCGTGGATTTTACTTTATTTGATTCTGGTGATCCAGCATGCATCACTATATCCTTTCAATACAACTGGATATTTGTTATAATGGAATACCCCAAAACTCTTTTCATTGCCAGCCAATGAGTTTGATTGAGATTACTCGTGAACCGACTCAGTTTACTAATAGTACATGCTATATCTGATCACGTACACTTCGTGATATACATCATACTTCCCAATACTTTAGCACAATCAAATTGTAAGTCAGTTTCACCTTCACTCTTTTGAAATGCAAAGTTTACATTTTTTTTGGAGTCTTGGCAATATTGATATCCAAATATTTGAACTAGTCAAGCACCTTTTCAATGTAATGAGACCGTGACAATGCTAAAAATTATGGAGTTCTAAGGATTCTTATACCTAAGATCGCATCATTAACTCCAAGATCTTTCATATCAAACTTGCTTTCTAGCATACGTTTAGTACCATTTATGTCATTATTGTCTATACTAATGATCAATATGTCATCAATATACAAACAAACAATGACCTTGTGATTTTAATGTAAACACATTTATCACTTCATCATTCTTTAATCCATTTGCCAACATGGTTTGGTCAAATTTCTCACGTCATTGTTTGGGTGCTTGTTTTAGTCGATAAAGTGACTTAACAAGTTCGCACACTTTCTTTTCTTTACTAGGAACCACAAAACCCTCGGGTTGTTCCATATAAATTTCTTCCTCCAATTCTCCATTTAAGAAAGTTGTTTTCACATTCATTTGATGAATTTGGAGGTCATATACCGCTGGTAATGCAATTAACATCCGAATGAATGTAATTCTAGTTACTAGCGAGTATGTGTCGAAAATCAAGACCTTATTTTTGTCTACAACATTTGACAAAAAAACTAGCTTTGTATTTTTCAATAGTTCCATCGACTTTCATTTTCCTTCTGAAGATTCAGTTTGAAGCCAAAGGTTTATTTTCTAGAAGAAGTCAATTAACTTTCACTATGATTGCTCAAGATTGAATCAATCTCACTATTGACACCATCTTTTCAAAATGATGAGTCCACAGAAGACATAGGAAATGATGCAAAATCTGATCCGAAGGAAGTAGATGTCCTTTGACATTTACTATGCCTCTAAATCTCTTTATTAAGTACATTCTCCTTTTGTTCTTTCCAAGGTCTTTTAGACCCTTCATTAGACTACTCAAGTTTAATTTTACAGTCCACCATTTTAGGTCCTATTTTGATCCTTTTAGGAATATGAACTTGGATTTTGGGAAAACTTAATTTTCTCTCTCTAAAAGCAAACGCTCTCAAATTTCAGCCTAACAGTTATATCCCTAACGAGTAGTTGAACTATCGGAATGGCGCGTGAGCCGCCGGTAGAGCTCTTCTGGACGCCAGACCAGTCCCAACAGCAGCGCTATGATCTTACGAATAAAACCCATCAACAATCACCCACTAATTCATCCAATATTTTGGTGAATTAGTGAAACACTGAGGCGATCAATACCGCGATTCCGGAGAAAGAGTTAGAAGGGATGCAAAAAATTATTTCCACAGAGTGTAATAGTCTGAATCATGGAAAACTGGTTAAGGGGAATGATTCTCCTAATCAAGAGAAACAACATACTAAAAAATCAGTTGATTCTATTGAGCCAATTGCGAGAATTGATGAGGCGACTACTGAGAAAATCGTGACTGAATCGCCTGAAAGGGGCCTTCAAATTCGAGTATCTTTCCAGCAAATTCGAGGCGAATTGACCAGTGGAGATTACTCACCTATTGAAGAGGTTCACCTCACTGAAATTTCAAGAAAAATGGACGCTCACATCGCCGGCGACAAAGATTCCAGTGTGGGAGAATTGTTGACCAGAAAATTTCAAGGTGAAGCAACAAGTGGGAATTATTCTACTAGTGGAGAGGTGTATCTTACTGATTTATCCACACAATTCAATCAGGAAAGGGTCTGAATAGAATTCAGGCAAACCTAGTTGGAACTCAGTTACAACACCAATTGAATAGTGCAGGGCTAGAAGGGAACCTTTCCCATAATCATGAAAACTCCAATGGTCAAAGGCAAGAGCAATATGCAATTGATGATCAAGGAATTGAGACACAACCAAAGGTACACGACAAAAAAATAGGACAAAGCCCAACTGATCAACAAATCAATGCAACTCCTAAGGCCAAGGAAGTGGTTGAAGTGGAGAGTTCATCCCATTTCTCTTTTGGAGTACAACCTACTGATACAACTCCAAGCAATGAGGGAAGACAAATAATACCAGGTAAACCAATAAAATCTGATTATACTCCTACTACTAATCAATTTCGAGAACAACATACAGCTAGCAGGAGACCACAAGACAACACATCAAAGGAGATGGGAACACAGTCAGGTAAGCACACTAACTCTATAACAGGTCACAATGTTGTAATTCTGAGTAGTGGAGTAGCCCAAATGCAACTGAATGCAAAGGGGGCAAATAAACAGTGCTATGACTGCAAAGGAACAAGGTGGAAGGAACTCTAATTATCAACAACAGGTTTATTAGAACCAAAGGAATGGAAATGGTAAAAGGGGTCAGACTCAACAATATCAACAAAGAGAAGTTTCTGATCCTAATAGTTATAACAATGCTTTTCCAAAAATTTCCAATAATTATGAAAAGCATAACCCTCACACTCAAAGAAACCAGCAAATTAATAACCCAAACCAGTCCAACGGGAATAGTAACCCCAACAACCATCAATATACCAAAAAAGACCTGACCAGTGAACCTGCTCCATATATTGTGGTTCAAACCATGGCTGCAAGACTTAGATAACAGTTAGCCAAGAATGAAACTCCCATTGAGCTGGTTACCCCTAAAGTCACGGCTAAACAAAACCTTCTTGTAGTAATCTTTAACATGGATGGATTTATGGTTAAATTAGCTATGGATTGCAAGTACACCCTGATTGGAAAATTCAGTAGCACTATGCCTAAGATAAAGCTCATCAGGAAAAGCTTCATCATGCAAACTCAACTAACATGAGGGGTCAAAATAGCTCATTACAATGCTAGACATGCCTACATTGACTTAGAAAGTGAGCTAGACTATAATACATTTTGGACACAACAAAGGATGACTATTGAAGGCAAACTGATGAGGATACAAAGCTGGACCCCAAACTTTAGACCTAAGGAAGAACCCCTATTGTTTCTATATGGGTATTACTACCAGGTCTATCATGGCATTGCTACAAAAAAGATTTTGTGACACCTCTACAATCTCCTGTTGGAAAAGTTCTATACTTAGACATAACTACTATTCAAAAGACTAGGGGCAGCATGGCTAAGGTAAAAGTTCAAGTGGATATAACCAAGGCAAGACCCTCTCATATATGGCTGGGGTTAGATGAGGAGGACCTCACTATAGGTAGGTGGCAAGCTGTTGAATATGAATGAGTCCTTGACTATTGTGAGTATTGCAGACACCAAGGTCACATGATGCAAGAGTGCACCTTCAGAATAAGAGATGATGAATTCAGGAGGAAAAAAAGAAATGGAAGCAGAAAAAAGAATAAAAATAAAGGTGACCAAGTACAAAAAGGAAAAGACAATAAACAGACCATGCCAAAAGAGAAGGAGGAGGAGCACAACCAAAACAACAGGGAATCCAAAAACCAAAAACAACCAGATCAGCAACAAGAAGATGGATGGCAAGTTCAAAGGAAGAAAAACAACAAGCAACAGGAAAACAAAGTTCAAAAAATAGTTTGGAGACCAACCTCACCACAAAATAGGATGACAAAGGAGCATCACCAAAAAACAACACAACAAATAGGTATATCAACTAACTCTAACCAAAATTCCTATGCTAATTTAGATATGCAGGATCAACAAAAAGATGACAGGGAAGAGCCTGACAGAAATGAAAGGACACCACCACAAGGAGCACAAAAAAGATATGAATCAGATCCCAACCAAGAAGCACTGGTCACACAGAAGGTAAACATGGTGAACAACAAGAGCACATGTATTGACTCTACACTCCTAGTCCCCACAAACTCTAGTATTGTGTATGTTGATTGTAATGTTGAAGTTGAAGGAGGGATGGAAGGGGGAAGTCAGGAGAACCATACTAACTTGCAGGAAGGGGTGTCCAAAGGAGGGAATTTGACTCATGTTCTTCATGAGGGGGTTCACATTGACCTTAGTCTTGACCCTAAAGCCTCTGCTACTCCTAAAGCTCATCAATACAGTCCAAGACAGCAACAACCCCATCAGCAAATTCAAACAGGGTAAAAAATGCAACCAACAACTAAATCTGATAAGGAGAAAAAACAACCTGACAAAAGAGGAAATGGTAAACAGAACAAGGGATCAATGGCACAAGATATGGGATCCAAAGCAAGGACTAGCAACCAAAGAGAACACTCCAAATAGCAAAAATAAACCTAGCAAAAAGAAGAGAGATGCAACAAAAAAGAAATAGGTTGAAAAATAGGATACTTATCAGCATGGGGAACATGAGAAGAATGAAAAGGAGTGTAAGCAGTTTATCGTGGTAGATGACCAGGAGGGCCTGGATATCACTCCCTTACAAACCAAATATATTACTCCACCCCCCAATGTTCCTCCTGACAAAAGACCTAGTAATTGTCAAGTCAATACAGTTCTAGAAATAGATGAATATGATGTGGATAACTCTGAGGAGGAAATTAATATGGATAATCAATCCTTAAAGGATCCAGATGAGGATGATGAGACTAGTGAGCTACTTATTAAAGCCTTTAGCCTTCAGTATGATAAAGGCTTAGAGGAAGAAATTCAACTAGTTACTAAAAATCAAGGTTTATCTCCCAGAGGCTTTCATCAAGATAAATTTCAATTCAGCAAAGGGCTCAACAACCAATCTATCACTATAGGCAGATCAAACACTAGACTCTTTACCTCCAAATCATCCCAATGATATGCTCACTTATTTGGAATGTGAGAGGGATCAACACCCAAGGTGTACTTGAAAGACTCAAAATGCTCAAGAAAATGCATCAATTATCTGTCATAGCTATCCTTGAACCTTTTTCTAACATTACCCATGTCCAAAGTTTTAAGCTTGCTATGGATCATGCTGTGACTAATTGAAATGGCAAAATCTGGCTATTCTGGACTGTGGACATTGATTGTGTGGTATTGGAGGAAGATGAGCAGCAAATTACTTGTGATATAGGTCATAATGAGCTTCAAGCTCATTTTACCACCACTTTTGTTTATGCCAAATGTAAGGATCACCTCAGAAGACCTCTTTGGGATAGAATGCTACATCAATCTTCTGACAATAACAAACCTTGATGTTCAGTTGGGGACTATAATGTTATTACTGACATTGAAGAGAAACTGGGAGGAATTCCTTACAATATGAGGAAGATTTTAGAATTCATTGCTGTGATAGAAGCTTGTGGTCTCATGGACCTAGGTATCAGTGGGCAAAAATTCACTTGGTCCAATCAAAGGGGAATTAATCATAAAATCTGGAAGAGGCTTGACAAGGCCTTGGTAAATGACTATTAGTTGGAGATGCCTCAGACTACCATCACTCATCTCCCATCCCATCTGTAGGATCAGATCACTGTCCCCTTCTAATGGAGAAACATGCAAGAAATGAAGACCACATTAAACACTTCAAATTCATGAATTGCTGGGCTGACCAACCAAAGTTCCTTGACATTGTTAAATCGTGCTGGGAAAGGAATTTAGAGGGTAACAACATGTGGAAATTTCATCAGAAATTGAAAAGATTGGCTAACTCTCTAAGTTCCTGGTCCGGGGGGAATTTGGTGATATTTTCATCAAAGTCAAGGATTATGAAGAGAGGGTCATAATTGCTGAGGAAAAACTTATTCAGGACAATACTAATGAGAACAGGACAAATCTTCATAAACTGAATGCTGAATATATCAGATTTTTAAAACTGGGAGAATCCATCCTGAAACAAAAACTCAACTTCAATGGTTTGAAGAAGGTGATGGGAACACTAAATACTTTCATTCATTGATAGGAGGAAGAAGAAGAAGGTTGTTTATACACAGAATTCTCAGAGAGGATGGGGAATGGCAACATGGGGATAATCCTGTGAGCATTTCCAAGACATATTTACAGGGGAAGACAGTGTCATTAATGAGGGTCCTTTAGACTATATTCCCAGAATGGTCAACCAGGATCAAAATAACAATCTCACTGCCTTGCTTACTATTGAGGAGTTAAAGGAGGTTGCATTTTCTATGAACCCTAATTTTGCAGCAGGCCTTGATAGCATGAATGGCTATTTTTTTCAGAAATGTTGGCACATAATCAAACATGATATTTTGGAGGTCATTCATGCTTTTTTCTGTAGTAAGATGATACCTAAATACTTTTCTCACTCTTGCATTGTTCTTTTTCCAAAAGTGAACAATCCCAACAAGCTATCTGAGTTCAGGGCTATCAGCTTAAGCAATTTCACAAGCAAAATCATTTCTAAGCTGGTAAGTTCTAGACTTGGTCCTATCCTACCTGGTTTGATCTCCCTCAACCAATCTGGTTTTGTTAAGGGTAGAAGTATATCAGAAAATATCATGCTTGCCCAAGAGATTATTCACCAAATTAAAAAGACCAATATTGGTAGCAATGTGGTCATTAAATTAGACATGGCTAAGGCATATGATAGAGTCTCTTGGCCCTATACCTGCCTAGTTATGAGAAGAATGGGGTTTGATGAGGTCTTCATTGACATGATATGGAGGATAATGGCTAACAATTGGTATTCTATCATTATTAATGTCAATAGACATGGTTTTTTTCACTCTACTAGGGGCCTCAAACAAGGTGATCCCTTTTCTCCTGCCCTATTTATTTTAGGTGCAAAGGTCCTTTCAAGATCTTTGAACAGACTCCATAGCATTCCAACTTTCCATGGTTTTTTCATGGAAGGGAGAGGTCCTCAAGTGAATCATCTAAGTTTTGCAGATGATATTATTATCTTCACTTCAGGAAGAAGAAGGTCCCTCAAACTCATCATGCAGACTCTAAAATCTTATGAGGAGACCTCAGGGTAGCTTGTAAACAAGGATAAAAGACACTTTATGATTCACTCTAATGCTTTCAATAGCACAAGAGATATGATTAAAAGAGTTACTGGTTTCAAACAAAAAGAGGGGCCTATCACCTATCTTGGATGCCCTTTGTATATTGGTAGACCAATAATTATTTACTTATCTTATATTATCAATAAGGTGATGAATATAATCACAGGTTGGCAAATAAAAATGCTGAGTTATGGAGGGAGATCATTTTTTGTCAAGCATGTGCCGCAATCTATGCCTATTCATCTATTAGCTGCTATCTCTCCTCCTATAACTGTCCTCAAACAAATTCAGAGTATCATGGCTGACTTTTTCAGGGCTGGAAGAATGAGAGGAAAAACTACCATTGGGCCTCATGGAAGAATTTAAGCTTCCCTTATGATGAAGGGGGAATTTGTGTGAGGAATCTGATGGATATGTGCAAAGCTTTCCAATATAAGCACTGGTGGATTTTCAGATCCTAACACACACTATGGGGAGATTTTTTAAAGGCTAAATACTATCAGATATCAAATCCTATAAGCAGAAAGAAAGGACCTTGTGACTCTGCAACTTGGAGACACTTGACACACAACAAATACAAGCTGGAGGAACACATCCAATGGAAAATTAATTCTGGAGATTGTTCTTTTTGGTGGGACAATTGGTTAGGAATGGGACCTCTAGCCAACTTCACTGATAAAAGTAATAGGTTCAACAACACTACTGTGGTAGATTTTTGGGTTGATGGCCAATGGAACATGGAAATGATAACTCAGCAAGCCCCTCATAGTCAAGTAGCTAACATTTTAGCTACACAATTGCAGATTCAACATGGGATCCCTGATCAGGCAATGTGGAAGTTAAATACAGATGGAAAATTCTCCTCTTCTTCAGCTTGGAATGACATCAGGGAAAAGAGAACCAAGACTCAATTTAACTCATTCACTTGGCATAGAAGCATCCCCTTCAAGAGTTTCTTCCTCTTATGGAGAGTGGTAAGAGGCTAGCTACCCACTAATGAAAAAATTACTAGATTTGGTAATGACCTTGTTGCTTGTCTTTGCTGTAACCAACCTGGATGGGATACTATTGAGCACACCTTCAACAATGGAAATTTTGTAGCCTATGTGTGGAGATATTTTGTTGCAAATGCTGGAGTTACTATAGACCACACCTCCATTGGCTACCTGATCAGGAGTTGGTGGTCTACTAAGTACAAACATGAGGCTCATAAGCTGCTGCTTCAGGCCACTCCAATCTTTATTTGTTGGAACTTATGAAAAAAAAGGTGTAAGAGAAAGTATGAGGGAAAGCAATCTAATATTACTAGAGTTTTGTATGCTGTTTACAAAGACAATTACAAGCTTACGTCCACAGTCTACCCCCACATCACTTGGCCAGCTAACTGGAAGGATCTGATTCAATTAGCAGAGAAGTGTGTTCATGAAACCAAGGTGTCTATTGTTTACTGGAGAAAACCCCCTGATCAGTGGGTCAAACTCAACACTGATGGCAGTGCATTGAGTAACCCTGGTAAAATAGGGGCAGGAGGTATTCTAAGGGATCATAATGGAGCAATGATACTAGCATTTGCTACCCCCTTAGGAGAAGACACTAATAACCAAGCTAAAACGGAGGCTGCTATTTTTGGCATTACCTGGTCATTGCAGCTAGGATACAAGAATGTCATGCTAGAAGTGGACTCTTAACTTCTTGTGTACTGGATCACTCTCTAAACCAACCCTCCTTGGAATATCAGCTCACAGGCACAACAACTCCAAGACCTCATCAAACAGGTGGACAATTTCAGATGCAAGCACATTCTCAGAGAAGCCAACTTTACTGCAGATTCACTCTCAAAACACAGCCACAAAATCACAACTCCTCAAGTATACTTCAACTGCCAGCAATTATCAAAGGAAACAATATCTTACCATCAGTTGGATATTTTGGAAATGGCAAACTTCAGAAGAAGGAAAATAAGGAGGATCAAAGAGCCCCTATGATAGCTATCAGGTTCCTAGGTTAGAAGGGTTGGTGTTTAACTCTTCTTACCTTGTAAAGGGAGAGTCTCCCTTATTTGTGATTTCTAGAATCTTTGTATTGAGAGGAGTCCTCTCTTCAGGTGCATAGAAGCTAGGAATCATCTTGTAATACGGGGATGAGTTGACTATCCTTAGTAGGAAAGTCGACTTATGAACC